TATCACTGGTAACTTCTGTCAAGGCACGCTTTAGACGAGTTCGTCGCGCTTGTACCATGGACTGCGACGACATCAACAACCCCGAACCCTGTAGGATATGCTATATTGGAAGATATCTCTGTATTTTTTTATTTTGACACCCCTACATAGACTATTCTAGTCTTCTAATAGGTTGCAGAGTGCTTCGAGGTTACAAAGTAAAGAACGTCTTCAATTCATCGGAACAATTAATGAAAACGCGGTGTTTCATTTTTCGACAAAAAGTCCTATAGCCATTACAATTCAAACAGCATTTAAAACGTTAATATTGACGAAAATTGTTCATGCGTGCTACCGTATACAGTACAATGCATTAATTTTGAATCTAGTACTCCACTTTTTTTTACTTGAGTCAGACAGGTTTGCCGATAACATTATTGTGGGCCAACATGGAATCAGAATAAAATCACTAATTCCGCATTCCGTCCGATTTCTATGAAATCAGATAATAAATTCCGAACTTTTCCTGAAAACTTGTTGTTTAGTGACCATTTCTTACTATATCTATAGGGGTAAGATTTGTGTCATATTAAGAACGTTGAACCCAAGGACTCTACAGTGCACTATACTTTAGTTTGCAAGATCTAAATCTCTCATTGAGGAAAATGTTTAGCAGATTTATTTTGAGGTAAGTATGTATGAAACACGCGAGGAAATATATCGCTGCGTGGTCGACTGAATCTAATTAAAACGTATTGTAAATTACAGAAAGTAATCGCAGGCAAAAATCTATTCCGTTGTCACTAAAACATTCCAAATGAAGGTTATACGAGCCCTAACACATAAATATCCACTTTCAAAATTAATTAAACACATTTAGTTACCTATTTCATTTTTTATAAACTCTAAATATTTAGTAAGGTTCACTGCAGGGTAGTGGTTATTTTGTAATCAGCGTTTCTCAAGCTGGGACCGTACATCTCGTGAACTTGTTATAAGGAGAAGCAATAAATTCAAATAAAATACGTTAAACAAGATTTATTAAAGATTAATTCTAAATTTTGAACTACCAAAAGCTTTGCTAGTATTTAAATTCCAAGCGGATAAATTGGCATCATCCTCGGCATCATCTTTAGAGTAAAATCCTGGATCCTTCCACAATGTGGAAAACAATCAATTTATTACTTCACTTATTACAAAACAGATTTACTTTACTCTTCACTCAAGGTCTTTTCTGAAAGTTGAAGATTTAGGGTATTAGGTTTTGCAATGTTTTTGCTATAATCGTTCTAGCTAGAGTCTGAAAGTAGATCGAAAATTTACGAAACTACCCCACCACAGATTAACTTAGTTATATCTGTTGTGATTGTAGAATGTAGATAGTTGCTTTGATGAAAAACCTTGACATAAAATATTGCAAAAACTTTTTGAAAACGTAATTTTAATTGACAACAATATCATTGATATACGTTTCAGAAAACGCCTTCAACTTGTTTTTTCTTTCCTTCGGGGCAGAAGTTTAAATGCTTGATTCCTCTGCGTTTGCCATTTCGTCAAAAAACCTTTGAATTTGCACTCTCCTGATAGTGGAACGTTACATAAAATTATAATACTACATTTTTGTTTTGCGTATTGAAAAGCTCACATAAATATTCACGTGTTAAACGATCGCACTTGTCGTGCCAACGTGAGACGTTTCCGTTTTGCCTAGGGCTCGTATTGATACGAATAAAGTAAGCCCCTTCAAATTGATTTATGGAAATTTAAATGTATTATTTATTACTTCGTTTTAATCAATTTTCTTTAAATCTCCTTGTAGCGTATACTCTCCTAAGCACGATATTTCGGATAATGTTAACGTTTGAATATTGGCACTTGTAGCCTGAAAATCGCGTAGACAATTACTGGTAGCTGGTGACGATGTCACAAAGTGACATGAAAGTTAAAGGTTTGAAATTGAAAGCTGTAATGGAATCCTAATGGCGTTTAACGTTAAGTTTGGAAGCTCGATGCAAAAATATGAAATTCACTATTAGAAGTTTGAAACGCCTTTATACTGGGGAATTTGAAAATTGAAAATGTGAGCTTTTTTACAGAAAACCCTGTTAATTTGACACCACCTAGACCTTTTGCGTATTACCTGGGGAATCCGGTCATTTTGACGCTTATTCCTTGAAAGTTGTATCGTGACTTCGACATCTGTGATTTGGTATTGAAGCATTTTGAACAATTGTGATTTGAAGTTCAGACGTGAAAGTTTTAGACCTGAGGTGGTAATTTTATGTTCAACACTTTTACGACAATAAAGCAACAGAAAGAAACAAAAAATCATTTGTGTTTATTTTTAACTGTTGGATTAATTCTACAACAAAAAGTGTTTTTAAATGTCAACAAATCAGCTATTTTAGTACTGTACGTTGGATGAATTAATTAATTACATGAACAAGCATGCAGAATCATAGCTCTCTATAGCAAAATGTAGTCTCTCTCTCTATGGGCAATACAAAAACATGGAATCAGTCATAAAACAATGCCATTTTTTAATTATAAAGAAAAGCTCCTTAATTTGCAAAAAACCGCTCTAGCTACTTCATGAAAAACGTCAAAGAGGTCAGTCGTTCGTTCGTAAGAGTATAGAGAGTTGAAGGGTTACACTGGAAGAACTTCGTGATTGTAGCGGTGGGAATAGGACCTTGTCTTTTTTACTAATAATAAAATACCTTTTCCTTCTCAATTGCACACACAAAGGTGGCATCGTTGATATTATTAATGGTCTGAGATTTTGCATTAAATTTTCTGGCGCCTCCCTTACTCCGGGGGTATTCGTTATAACCGCCACATTACTCACTTCTTTCGTGTGATTAATGCAAATATGTTTGCCCCATCATCCCAAACAATGCCCAGCTACACTGAATGGATGCATTTGTTAAATAATTTTGTGATTTTAGGGTGGCGGCGTTCAGTAGATACTGCGGAATTGTGCGTACATGTATTTTGCAGGTCCGTATTTTAAAAAAATCAAGTCGACGATAGCCCCAAAAAAAACGAAATGTAGGACTTTTAAGCCAATCATGTTAGCTTGTCCGGGAGAAAAAGGTGCAATGTGAAAGTGTGATTTGTTTTCAAACATTTTTTCCAAAAGAAAATTATCGGTTTTTTTTCTGTTATTATATATATATATATATATATATATATATATATTATATATATAATATATTATATATATATATAATATATATATTATATATATATATATATATATATATATATATATATATATATATTATTGGCGTAATTGAGTAAATGAAATTGTTAATGGCAACATTCCGTAGTAATACTTACAGTCCATTCTTACATTGTTGGGTATCACCAAAGTGTGTGGTTGAAAGTTTAAAACCAATACAATTAAAACCCATGGTTCTTGGGCGGATCTAACGATGCTTTGGAAATACTTCTTGGGTGATTTATCACTTCACGAGAAAAAAAACACGAGAAAATACCACTTGATGCACTCTCACTCTGCACTTTTTAAGAGTGAACTCATTTGCGGAATGTGAAGCACTAAAAAGTATTAGGAAGTAATTTAAATAATTGGCACGCTCAATATGTCGCTAATTTGTGTAACCATAAATCAAAGAAACATGACAGAGGTTCTTAAAACGGCCAGCTTTCGCCACAGTGTCACAAAGTTTAACATCCGTAAATTTTAAACAAAAGTTCTACCTTATGGCGGCGATGATTGAAAGACATTCTTAGTGAACGATAAAACTCGCTTAATTAACCGAAGAAGCACTCTGGCCTATTTCTACATCGTTTATATTTAAATACTCTTGCTTCTTGTAATTACGTTCTTAACTAATCTTATTTTTTTAACTATGTACAGTCACACAGAAAACGTCAAAAGCTGAGAAGAACTCAAGATAAGGTTGCTTACCCCTTAGCAGATCATTGTGCTCAACTGAGTTTTTGACGAGATGCGAGTAAATGACAGGACAAATGTGCGACACTGTAAAACATTTCTTTTCGTTTTTCCACATTAGAAATTGGCAAACTAACAAACAGCGCTTGATTTATTCAATTTGGTAGATATTACGAATCTGCAGTCATCTGACACAGTTTCCTGCTACAATGAATGCATGTCACACACAAATAACTATTTTTTGCCCAAAAAAACTGTACACGTATTATCTCTTCGCTGGTTAAAACTAATCTAGTTCTATGTGAAGGCATATCCAAATCCTAATTCTAGATTTAGCCAGGAATACTAATGCTATATTTGTAATTCCTTTGGGACAGTTTATTTATAAGATTATTTATGCAGGAAGCTGTAACAGTGTCAAACGTCTTTAGTTTACAAAACAAACCAAATTTTACAAAGTGGAATAATACAAAGTTCCATTATTTTCGTGTAGACACTTTTTCTGACTGCAGCGTTGTATAAATGAACGCAAAAATAAATAGCACTTTCAGAGTGTTAGCGTGTCCATGCATCGAGCAGGAGTCATTTGAATAAAACCGGCAGGAAATACTTTTCACTTTGAATACAGATGGAAATGTGCCTTCCAAGACAACATAAATAAAAATACTCTTTCGAATAAGATACTTAGAAACCAGAGCGTTATTGAGGAACTCGATCTGTGAAACAAATTGCCAATGTTTGCTTAATTTTGTACGGTGGAAAACCATTTTGCAAATATTGATTTCATCTCATCAACAGCAATAAAAGGAACTCAAAACTCATTAACCTTAAAAATTACAAGTGAAGTCTCATTTTTACGTTTGCGCTTGGCAGAGGGCCATTTTGCGTAAATATTTTGGAATATTTATTACAATGTCTTCCAGCTGACATTATGAATTAGAGCGACCAATAAAAATGAACAGATACAGTTGAAGTAGTAATATCAGTCCATGTAATCAAACTAAGAGTTTCTGACAAAAAGTGATCACATAAACAACCTTATCTTGAAATACATAAAATTTGAGCAAAATACAATCATAAATTGGATGCTCCAGCAATAAGTACAGGATTAAATATAAAAAAAATGATCTCAACATATTCGTGATTCTCATACGTTTATTTACGTACGCGAAATGGTTGGCACGACGCCAACATTGAAAAACTAAAATTAATGACGTGTTTACAAAATGAAGAAAAGAAGTTAAGTCGTCAATATATGAAAGAAAATGTATGAAACCGAATTAGAATTGTTTTTTTTGGATTGTTGAGAACGACGCCTATTTGAAGTAAGCAAACTTTTTTTCATACCTGACGGAAATTTCGCATCGCACCGTTGATACGGAGCGAGTCGGCGGCGATTCCCGCGATTCCACCTTCTCCGTGATCACGCAGTTGCCTTAAGGATGTGGAAGGAGCAGCTCCATGGACACAACACGGCGCCGACGCTTCGGGTTGTGAACTTTGCCTTATTATTCTAGAGCCTGGTAGCGTTGTTACCACTGTAGGCGGTGCAGGACAGGAACTGCATGACGCCTAGAAAAAAAATGAAAGATGTAAAAGAATATCTTATCAGAGCAGATTTGAATTCAGGTCTCCGGAACGGCGCCTTAGTACTTCAAACTTTTATTTTATTACTTTGTAGGTGTATGTCTAAAAATATCAGCTTGCTGTGGCGGACCATAATTTAACGAGGACTTCGTGCCACGCTTTTTAATTAATAACCCTCAGTCCATCACTCACGAAAGTGAGTAATTTTATAATGAATTGCCCTTTTTTATTCAAAAAGTGGAGGATCTTGAATTATTGATGTTTATAAAAAAATAAAATATACTCAGATTAGGTCGGTCGATCTGCAGAAAGTGCACAATATAAAAAAAATCAAATTCAAAATAATTCAAATAATTTTTTACCAGAAATTTAATGTATAAAAAATTGTTTCATTCACATCAATCACTTCACAAAAATTGTTAAAAATGTCCCACCATTATGTTGAATGCACAGTTACACACATATTTTCATATCATCAAAAACTCATTCTAACATTACTGGTGTAATGTTCATTAGTTCCTCTTCGATTCCATTTTCAAGTTCCTCAGTGATGTGCAAGCGATTTCGAAAAATATTGTATTTCAAAATCAGAAACAAAAAAATCTAACGGGGTTAAATCTGGAGAACGTGGTGACCACAATCCTCTGCTAATTAATCGATCATCGTAAAACTGTTGTACGGCATCATTGAGTTACCCGGTATTTGTGAATGGAAAATACCTTGCAGGAAAACGTTGCATATAAGGAAATTCTTGATAGACTTGCTGGCGACAGGACTGAATGGAATACGTCCATGTTCCATCCTCTAGACTTGCACTTCGATAATGTTTCTTTAAGACGAACGCGTCATGTTTAGGTGAAAAAGACATTGTGGAAGATTCTAAAAAAGTAAGGTACTTACACATCCATAAAATAATTTACGTCATTTACTTACTTTTACATACTGCTAACGCCTGGGAGCAGCCCTGATAAAACTGTTTGATTTAAAATAAAAAGATGACCGTACAAGGTGGAAAATACAAAGAGAAAATCAACACATAAAAATCGCCGTAAATGGATAGCTTATTCAGCTTATTTGTTGAAGTCATTGTCATTCATCGTTGATGAAAAAAACCACAATCGCCAATGTCTAAACCAAAAAACTCCACAGTTTTTAAACACTTAATTCAAACTATCCTCACTTTTTTGAATCACATCAATCAATTCACAGAAGACCAACATTCAACAAACATGTTAAACTGCAAATGAAGATAAACCGAGTGATGAGTCACCGACCAGCTATTTTTTTGTTGCACAAAGGCACATTTTTAATATTACAAGAACGTTACTGTAACTGTGCAACTTAACAGTACCAAAATGCTGTTGTTGTAATGTTAAGCTTTTAAAAGTTGAACTAACGTAGTTATGTATGGTTCCGTCAACATACGCAAATAACATCACATTCCTTAACATTATAATGACATCGCAACAAGGTTTTGCATAACAACGTTGTTAAAGTAATATTGGTATAACGTTAGCGTTCTAAATGTTATTTTGTCCCGTTCCAGCGACGCAAGTCCATAAGGTTACAATTTTTAACATTACAAAAACGTCGTAACTACGGTTTAGAAACAAAAGCCATTCAAGTATCGTTGGTATAACGTTGATGTTTTGTTTAATTGGGTTGTTTCAAAATGCAACATTCGTTTAACGTTCCAAACGTTTTTTTAACATTGCTTGTCTAGTGGGATATTACGTACTCGAGTTTTTTTTTCCCTCTACGCCTTATATGGTTTAGCTGTTTGCATATTAATTTTTGTTTATGTTTGTAAATATACTACCGTCTTGTAAAACAGTGGAGGAATAAATATTATTATTATTATTATTATTATACCTATTGTTAGCTGTTCTGTAAGTATCTAGGTTTCTTTAAACGTTTTGAAAGATATGCCTTATTTTCAACAATACGCATTTTACCCATTTTTGATTGGGATAGACTGAAGCACAAAAATGATACTTTCGAAAATCAACATTGACAATTGATTTATCGCATAGGAGTCCAAAATTTAGTGACATATTTCCGAGCATATTTCATTTTGTTGAAAAGTTCGCCTTTTCAATTGTTGTACCCAGCCTATGAAAAGCAAGAAAACTTAACACCCAGGCAAGATACTCATGAAGCAAGGCTATACCGCTACCTGAAAAGCTTATCCTTAAAAGACGGCAGCCTATTAAACCGGTTTGGTATGCGTGTTGATCAGGTACATTGCATCAAGCGCATTATAGAAGATCCTTCCAATTTGCAAAAACTTTTTGTAAAAGTTTTCATTTAACTTTGTACTAGGAGCATTACCATAACATCTATAGGTATTTCAATTGTGTTCCGTATTTTGTTAAATTCAAAAAGGGAATTTTTGTTTTAGAAAAATATATACTCTTTGGTAATTGATATAAACCACGAAATTATGACAAACTCTTGAACTTTTAAAAAAGGGGAGAACCATAATTATTATTACAAAATTCAGTAAAAGAGTGAAAATATTCTGGTGAGAATAAAATTAGTATCACCAGATGTAACAATTCACATTTTAATTTAAACACGGATTCATACGTGGTTATAGCACTAACATTTACTCAGCTTAAATCATCACATTATCGTTGAATTTGTAGTATTACAGCCGACGTTATGTCATAATTTACTGGATAAACTTAAACATTTTCTTTTAATGGAATATCGTAGGCTTATAAAATTGATTGTTTCACGTTTACAAAATTCGACGAAAATTCAATCTTAAGTATCGAGAATGACTGCAGTGGTTTAGTCTTATTAGTTAGAATCCACAATAATGATTTAGTTGTCTATACCGGCTTTAAGTAGTAGATAAAATTGGGGGTGTCGCAGATGACCACCATCCCCTGTCTACCAAGATTACCATTTCATAGTTGTTTCTCGCTGAACCCCAGAGGAAATACAATAATAAATACTGACGAAGGAACTATACAAACCAATATTATTACCGATTTTCAAATAAGCATAATTTTCTAAACTCGCTGTATATATTTGTTAGTTTAGGATACATTAGGGGCAACTACCCGAGCAGACGTGATCGAGAAAAGAAAAAATAAGGATATTGTTTTCGTGCGCGTAGACAAAGGTAAAGAGGCACGGAGGAGATAAAAAATAGAATGTATTTCTCTGTTGAGCTTGAACCGTAGCGTTGTTAAACAAAGGACGCTACAAATTTCTATTTGTATAGCGTCAAGGAACTTTATCGCAGGAAGTATGAGTACCTACCTTAAGTTTAGCTCATTCAAAATCGTACTGTTTTACTGATTTTTGACCGTAATGTATTGTATATTTTCAAGGAAAAGGTTCAATTAAATTCAATATAAAAATGAATATTTTTCAGGTCTTGTTCCATTATCTTTCAAAATGAAAAATATTATTTTATTGTTTCAAAGAAAATTAATTTCAGAATTAGGTACTTAGAGACAGCGATCCTTGTCCATATACTATGCGATCAAAAAAGTGTTGATGTTGAATCACCAATTTTTGTTTACATGGGAAATAATATTTAACTTGAATTATGGAAAGCGTTAGGATGCTACATCTATTTTTAAATCCAATAAATTAAATATAGTTTCAACTGCAGTACTGGGCACGGCAACAAAAAAATCGTTAGACTTCAAAGTTCAAATTACTCCGACGCGCAGAAGACATATACTGAAAATACTTTAAAATTCAATGAACTGCCAGAGTCGCTTCGTTTCTAATTACATAAATGGCGCCCCGCCACATTTGATAAAGTTCTGACTATTTTTGTGGTTTTCCCAAGAATTGTTGGAAATTTTTCTCCAATATTCAAAGACAAATTCTGGATTCGTTATTTTCATATTGAAAATCCCACAGGTACCAAACGAATTTCGTCGAGATCAGAACGTCTATCCGCACCCTTGTTTAAGGGAATGCTGTCTTGTGGTAAAAACTTCGAAACATTTTGAGAAAGTTAAAATCTTAAAAACTCGTTTATTGTGTGTCCCTAAAGAAGAAACGTAATCTTGGGGATCCAAACGATACCTTTAGGAGCCTGGGCTTATTTGGAAAATTCTTTCTATCGCGCATTTTTTTGTATACTTAATTGTTACACTTTTTGCTTAGAGCTTCTATTGCAGAGTATAGGTATTGTCAAATTGAAAAATGGGTTAAACTTGTATTCTAGAGTTAAATCTCGAGTTTTGGCACGTAATTAGCTCTTTATTAATGTGTTGCTTTACTAAATACACAAGTAGCAAGCCAAGCATGCAATAACTTTAAAAGAAGCAAAAAATTTCTAATTGATGTCCTGAACTAGCACTTAATTAGCTATTAATTAATCACTAAATACTTCTATCATTTGGTCTGCTAAATACATACCCATTATGTTTATTTTTAATCTGCGGATATTGTTATTTGACAAATACGTTAGTAAAAGTCTCATTCGTCATGCTGCCTCATGGGATTGATGGGAAATACATTTCATAATTTTTGTATATTCGTCATAATTACATTGCAATTTACGAAATGGTGAATTACGTAAAATTAAACATCACTAAACGTGGCACGGTTATAGGTTGTAAGTAATGAATGAGAATGGGGCAAAGTAATATGAGAAATATTTCTCGCATTTTTGTTGAGAGCGAATGTTTGGAAAGCGAATCTTTTGAAGAAGAATACTAATTCATCTCTATAAAATGGGAAAGATGGGGGAAAAATTGGGGTACCACTTTAGAGCCCTGGTACACACTATTCCCTCTTATTTTGAAAGAGTAATGTTACACGATACCCCTCAACTCGAGTTGTCGCACAAGTGTACAGGAAATGCACACAATTTAGAGGCGAATTTTTAATTGAAAACCTTCGGCCTGATGAGGAACAGCGGGTAACCCCAAACTAGATATTACATCTCCGTTAATATTCAAATCAGCACAAAACAAGCACAATTTTGGCCGCGATCGTTTTTGGCATAACCAGTTAAGTGAAATAAACGTTTCTTCTAAAGAAGATTTAAAATGGGATAGATTCAAAGTTTTGAAGAGTGCCTTAAGTTTATTATATAATTGAATGTCCATTGAGGTATTCGATGGGGCAAGCGAATGTAAAACAAACAAAGCTGGCAAATTTTTAAAATGCGTTCCACTAAATTACTAAATGAGAGCTTTTTTCTGTAAAATTAAAACCCAAGCGGCATGCGGTGTACCCCCTTCCCCCATAACTAAAAACCATACGAAACTATAGGGAGTGAAACAAAGTATGGTGCGCGGCCTGCGAAATTCATAGACTGTTTTAATCGTCTTAGTAAAAACAATCAACTGGAAAGTTGATTGCTCAAGACCGCCAAGCCCACTAGTTTTACATATTTTTGGGTGTCAAGGGGCTGTTTGTCGACCTACACAAAGGTGAGCGTCGTCGGTAAAAAGTACACATATGTAACTAATGAGGGAAATCATTTACATAGATAATGAGTTATAGTGGCCCTAAGATGGACATTAAGTGTAATGGGATGTTCCAGAGAATTTATTTAATAAAGGAATTGTTTACAGTTATTTAAATACGATTGAGTTAATTTTAGGGAAAATCCACGAATGCCGCAGTGTTCCAATTTCTGAATTAAGATGTCAGCACATATACGCAATCAAATGCTTTATCGAGATTCACTAGGTCACAATAAATGCCCATGAAGAAGGTTCCGCACCAAATCTGTAGATTTTTCGTAATTTTTAGGAGAATTCGATCTTGCGAACGGCCACTGCGGTCCCAGTGCTTCCCGATACTAATTTCGTTATATTAAGCGACATGACCCTTGTTTATTACCATTTTGTATTCTGCATTCCTTTGAAGGATTTCTCCAGTTTCTGTGTTGTGAATGATGTTGGGGTTGACCCGGTCTTGCAGTAATATTTAAGGGACGTTAAACAAGAACTATACTAAACTACAGACTGGTCAGGATTTTTAGCTAGTGCTTTGTTCAGCGTATCAAGAATTAGATACGTCCATTATTCAAAAGAGACATTATCTTATGGCATTTTATTACATAATAAGGATTATTGCAGGTTTTAAGCTCAGGATAAGCATAATGCGCTGGGCGAAAGGGATTTCAAAGTTTTAAGCAAACTCGGTATTAAGCTGATCTATATTTTGATGCAATCTATCTAACTGTGTTCTATATAGGTGACTTACCCAAAATCTCAAAAGACGCGGCTTCTTCTGCACCGCCTGCAAGGAAAAAGCAAGTAGATGGAAGAGATTTAAAGGGGTCTACTATCATTACCCATTAAATTAAATGGGTACCTACTAGCAAAGGTATGAACTTAGTCAATTTGCTTAAAACAGAAAGACCGATAAATGTGTGATTAATAAAGAATCATAGTACACTGTGTTGTATGAATTGTCGAAAATGAGTCGCACGAGTCTACATTTTAATCTAATTCATTTAATTACTAGCATTTTAATAACTTGTGTTAAAAAGTGTGATGGAAGTAGCCTGATTAGCTTATTATCGGGTTTAGAAATTGCACAAATCACATAGGTATTTGTTTCGCTTTCATTGTAGATTACGAGCTTTTTTAAAATTCACCATGACATTTAAACAACAAAAGCTTAACATTAACAGTATTTTATTCGGATACAGAGACTATACGAGAATAGGCGTGATTTAACTATACCGCTGACAAATTAAACCACTTTGGCATTAGATATCAAACCCTTTCAGAGACAAAGCTCTAGTTTTTAGACATTTTACATGATATTCATGCATTACAGTATCAAATCAAAGAAAATTATGTACCGAGCTATCGGTCGCAAAGAAAGCATTTCCCTTCAACGTCCGGAGATCAATCTTAATATACGTAACATGAAAGATCGTATCAAAAACGATTAGAAAGTGGCCAGAATTACCTTTACCAAAATTCAGTGGCCAGATTAAAGAATGACCATCCTTTTCATTTCAATCTATAGAAGCAAAATGCATAAAATTAAATGTGTTATCAGTTATTGGCCGTTGCTATGACCCCGTGGGATTACCCGCACATCAATTTCAAAATCATTTTCCATGCCTCTCGAAGAGTAATATGTGTCACCCTCAGGGGCGGACTGGCTAACTGCGGGCCAGATGGAATTACATAGGTTACGGGCCATTAAAGTATTAGTGTGGTAATGAAGGTGGCGGAGGGGGGGGGAGGGGTTAGCTCTGAGTTGCACCACAAAAACATTTTAAAGTACTCCTTTCTCGAAAATAAATTACCATACAGTTTTTTTTAAATTGCAGCTGATAATTAAAAGTAACAAAATATACAATCCACACGAGGTGCGTCGCCTATCATTGTATTTCAGCACTTTCATGCTACGACAAAAAATGATAAATTCATTGTAAAACACTTCAATTAAAACAGAATTTTTTAACAACCTGACATCAACCCCAATTAGAGAAACGTGTTAATAATTTATTAATAGTGCAAGAAACTAAATACAGCACATACTTATAAATTTCCAACGGGCCATTATGATCTACAGGCCAGGTGGCAATCGCCACCCGCCCCCCCGGGCCAGTGCGCCACTGGTTATACACTGTCTTTTTTTGAGCCCTGAAAAAAACATTGTCTCAGATCGCCTCGGAAAAAAATTTTCTTATTGAATGTGGCATGTAGAATCCATAATTTCAAACAGTTCCCAAGATTGGGCTACTAGTTCAAAAGTTACAGCCCTTTGAATTTTTTTTCGAAATTGGTTTCTAGTCTATAACTTTTGATTGAGAAGTCTGATCGAAAAAGTACGAATTGTTTTGGATTCTACGCAACCAAAATTAATAAGAAAAAGTGTTTTCCCGAGAAATTTTGGTGTAGTCGATTTTTTGTAAAAAAAGGAAGGTTATACACTGCCTTTTTTTGAGCCCCGAAAAAAAATTGTCTCAGATCGACCCGGAAAAAAAGCAAAGCATTTTTTCAAAACAGGCGTAGTAGTAGTAGTAGCAGGCCCATTGGAGAGGTGCCCGGGCTCAAAATGCACATACATATATGGTTATTTCTTTGTCTTGCTGTGTTCATTTAGAACTCGTATAAGATCTTTCAACCCTTACGTTTATTAAAGCATTTAAACGATTTCTAGCTAGACGGAGCTTGTGCGCTGTTTTATATTCAGATAAAGGCAGTAATTTCGTAGATGCAAAAAGTTATTTAAAAGACCTATCAAACAGAATTGATTCGCTTGATTTACAAAGGGACATCCAGGCAGAATTAAGCGTTAAAGGTATACAATGGAAGTTTATTGCACGCTTTCTCCATATCCATAAAATAGATAGTTTTTGATCTAACCCTCATTCTACTGATGATTACTTTGATTGTGAATACGTAATCTTGTGTGTTCCTCCCTTTCCTAAATCCACTCTGCGATTGTAATAGCGCCGGTTCCACTTCTTTCCTTAGCCTTTTTTCTAGTATCTTTTCGAACGTCTTCATTGGGGTGCTCAATAAGGTAATTCCTCTGTAGTTACTACTTATTGTATCTTCATTACTTTTCAAAATATAGACATAGGTTATGATGAGCACCCTCTCTATAGTATCACATAGATGGCAGTCATCAGCTAACTTTAACTATAAATTACTGCTTGGTGTGTCAGTGAGTGTGTGCTACATGAAAATACATTCACTACCTATTTGTTTTCATTCCTTAAACTTATTCAGCACTAGACCAATCATTGAAGAAGTTGAGTTATATTAAAGCATATTCATGGTAATGGGGGCCATTATGTACGACACGCTCGGAAAGAATGGAAATATTTCAATTTCTAGTAGCGTTCTTTCAACATGAGTTAGGCTAGATTAATTCTGATCTGTGAAAGTATTTTTATTTTTTTAAAATTAGACCTTTTAGCTTCAATATCTAAAAGAGTTCTTTAGTTCATACTCAAAGGACATTAAGTATATAAACCCTAAATTTTGTAGATCAGCAAAGAATGAGTTAGTCGCGTTGTTCCTTCTTATGTATTATGAAATTAGGGAATTAGAAAATTAAGCAAGTGGAAGGATTGTCAGATGGAGATATTTTGTTGAAAACAAGCCCTTACTATAATATACCTTAAACAAAGCTTTCAGATCAATAGCACTTTCCAGAAGTAACGATCGGGAGCAGATACTTTACCGTACAAGAGCTATTTTTCAAAAGATTCAGATTAATATTAGTAAACGGTAGTTTTAAAAGAACGGACGGAGAATGTGCCGTTTGGGAAACTGTAAAATGACAAATGATCCATAATTTGGAAGGTTTACATTAAGTAATCGAGCTTTTGGGGTTTCATGGTTTAAAAATTAATAAAAGCTCAAAGAAGGTTAAACTAAAGAAGGTATTGCTCGAAATGACCGTTACTAAGATAAGTTAAAGGTGACGAAACTAGCGAATGCAACTCTCTCGCAATAAATTGTAAGTTTGGTTTGTGACTTTGTATAAATGTTTTGTATTCCATCGAAATTGAGAGTAAAAAATTCGTCTTCGTTCTCTTTTTAATAAATGTTAGACACCCGGTTACACATCTGACTTAAATGGTCCACATTTTTCCCAAAAGTGCAGGCAGTAACTATCTCTAATTAGCAAATTTTTTATTGGTATCATTTTTATTTGTATCACTGCGTGTAGAAATATAAATTAAGTTTTCATGTGAATTTCGCTTTAACTCTTTTTGACGTCCCGAGGGGGAAATGATTTAGATTTTCTCAACACACGAAAGTTAAAATTAATTTCTGTTGGAGCTTGTGGGAAAATTCGGTCGCCTTTATTTTTAACGAGTAGTCAGAATTAAAATGTGACAAACACTTTTTAATGTACGGCATCTACCACGTTTAAATTCAGATATTTTCTACTTCAATAGTATCATATAAACAGGGAATTATACAGTGCGTAAATTTTAACTCTGAACATATAAATCTCCGGTGTTCAATTCTTAACAAAATTTTTGCAGTTAGCAACACAACTTCCCCACTTATTAATGTCTTGATCACTTTAAATAAGTTCTCCTCAGTTAAAGATATCGACTTTTTTCACGATCCCCTAAATGCAATAATAAATCAAATTAGATCTTAAGTCCTAATGTTTGTTCAGAGCTCCAGTACCATGTAATTGGAATTTTTATTCTGTATGGTGTCTGGTTAAACAAATAAATAAATGAAATCTATACAAAAGGCGAAAAAATGGAAATATTACAGATGTAATCATTACAGGATTCATTTATTTATTTATTTGTTATTAAATTTCCCGATAGGCAAGTTCCATACATAGGCACAATTCACAACAGTATTAAAAAATTTCATGTTGATGGTTGAATGGTTAATAAACATTATACCGGAAACAGATATTTTCGTGTTTTAATTGTAGAAATGAAGTTAAATTTTAGGGTACGTAGAAGAAAATTAAATTACCTCACTGTTCGTAATTTAGCTAGAGAATTTAAACTTTCACACATGTCCGTATGAGTTCGATAACTCACAGCAACTGAGTAAAATTTCAATAACTAAAAAAATCTATGGTACTATTTTAAAGGTCTTTTCACGGACTACAAAATTGTAGTGTAGTAGTATAGTGAGGCAAAATTCAAGTTTCCGAGAAAAAGGGCAAAATGTGAATTTTATGAAAAGGGTTCCCACTGACCCCTCGGAATGGTAACCCTTCGGAAATTATTTGTTACGGTCTCGGGAAGCTTCATGCAAAATTTGGTGCTTGTATCCGGCTGGTAAATATCTTTTTACTAAGCAACCTCACTACATTATGTATAACTCTGTGTATTATATCCAATGTAATCAACAAAGTGACTGCGCTCGTGTGCAGACCAATACGAGTATATACCGGCTATAGGAACAGCCATGTAGCATGATGCAAGGCAAGTGCAATATATTCGAGTACGTTTGCCGGAAGTAATAGTATTGAACTTATTCCATTCACTACATGAAAGACGAAATATACAATGTAATAATTGGGTGCAGGAGGCGAACCTGTTATTTTCTCGAAACACGAAAAATTACAAAAAAAATCTTGGCTTTTGACCTTGTATTACATTTTTACCTCTTTCTAATTCTGGTGCGAAACATGTGTTTTCCTTCCGTTTTGTAAACTAGTCAAGTATTTATGCAAACCCCACGCATTATCACATTTTTTAAAACGCTAGTCCCCTCATTCCAAAATTCTAAAATACACCACTGCTTTAGTTTAGAGACGAAGCACCACTTCACGAC